TAACTGTAATCGGCGCTTCTGGGCTCAGAGCCGGGGCGGCTAGCGCTACTCAGCCAGCAGGTCCCGAACGCGGGGAGCGGTGGCGGGTCGGGGCTTTATCTCCTCAACCTCTGACAGAACGCAACGTGCCCACGAACGTGGAGGGAAACGACCCCCAGGAGCGCTGGTGACACCTGTGGCTCTGACACTAGGAGGGTCCCAGGTACACTCGCGTGACGTCTGTCGCGGATAACCTAGAGACGGTTCGCATCTCACTGCTCTGAGACGTCGGGAGACACTGCAGCCTCTGAGCGAGGGCCCCGCCACGTCAGCCAAGCACCAGGTGCCCGTGCTCGGTATACCGACTGCACACTGGAGTCTGCCTGGGGCCAGGGTTCGAACCCCCAGCCTGCTGGCCTGGAAACGCACAGGCACACGCGTGCTGCCCACGGTCTGACAAGACAGAGGGCTGGAGGGGGTGGTGTGACCAGACCCCATGGAGGGGCCGCTCTCCTGCACGCACACTCTCGTTAACGCCACACGGTCACTGGCCTTCGGAATAGCAGAGGGCATAGTGGTTACGGCACTGGAGCCCCACGGGCTGACCATGGTCCAAGTCCTGGGCCTGGTGGCTTGAACTCACACCAAGTGTGCGCGTGCCCGGATCCCAGGAGGGAGAGTGGAAGGGGGGGATTACGTGTGGCAGGTGATCGCTCACGCCCCTCCTCACTGTCTTTGACTCTCCAGCAAGTGCACGCACCCTCTATGTGGATGTGCATGTATAGTACATGCCTATGCACAGGTCTGTGTACATGTACACGTCTATGTTCACATCTATGTCTATGCACATGTCTGTGTACATGTACACATCTATATACACGTCTATGTTCATGTCTATGTCTACGCACATGTCTGTGTACATGTACATGTCTATGTACATGTCTATGTTCATGTCTATGTCTATGCACATGTCTGTGTACATGTACACGTCTATGTTCACGTCTATGTCTATGCACATGTATGTGTATATGTACACGTGCATGTACACGTCTATGTTCATGTCTATGTCTATGCACAGGTCTGTGTACATGTACATGTCTATGTCTATGCACATGTCTGTGTACATGTCTATGTACATGTCTGTGTTCACGTCTATGTCTATGCACATGTACATGTCTGTGTATCTCGAGGGGAGCCGGACAATGGTGCAGTGATGAAACAGGAGGCTCTGCAAGGCTGACCCACGGCAGAAGTACTGGGTGCGTGGGGCCCACGTGTGCCATGCCCTGGGCTGGCTGAAGCCGGGGGAGGATCGTGGGGCGGAGACCCTGCAGGGTGCTGTCTCTGTGTCTCTTGCTCATGGGAGAGAGAAGGAAACTTAAATATTTGGATAACTGCGTTGACAACACTGCAATAACCACTTCAATATAATCCGCCTCCTTTCAATCCCCTACATTCTATCTTATGCTCTTTCACTGCGATAAAAGGGAGAACAGGGCAAAGCTGTTTCAGGTCATGCACGAAGACAACCGTGATGGGCAGGGGGCAAATGGGCGCACCCAACGCAGCCCTGCCGTAGGGGGCAGCCGCGTCCCCCAGGCCTGGCCGGCACAGCGCTTGGTGCCGGAGGTGGCCCAGCAGACCCTCATGGGACCGATGACTTCATGCATGGAACCCGATCTCCAAGCACACTCGTGGGGCTGTGAGAGTGCACCTTTAATAATTCAGCCCTTTTCTCAAAGGCGTTGGTATCGGGTGACCGACCCCAGGAGCGTGCAGACCGCCCTGTGTCCGATGCCTGGGCCCCGGACGGTCAGAACTGGGGAAGCACGCTCACTCCTGACAGTTGTTCTGCCTGCTCCCACATGCAAACCTCTCCCAATGGAACCGCCACAGAGATGCAGACAGGAGGGTCGCCGATGTCCAGCTCCGGCCGCCAGAGCGGCGGTGCTAACCCTGGGTCTGTTCGGCTTCCAGAGACATGACAGAAGTCAGGGTGCTGTCGGACTCTGTCTGACACAACTGCACTGCGGCCTCTGCACCTCCACAGGCCGCCCTGAGGGAGGAGCCCGTGGGTACACGTGGGCACACGCACGTACCTCCGTGTACTCCTTGTGGCTCCGCTGGATCTCCGACACGCTCTCGCGCGCGGCCCTGCTGGCGGGGGACGTGGCGAAGGCCTGCTTCATCTTGCTGGCGCCATCCTGCAGACGGCTCTGGATGCAGTAGGCTTCATAGAGCTCGTCCACCTGCCGGGAGCACAGGGACGGGACAGGTCCGTCACGCCGGACGCTGCTGCAGAGCACGTGACTACGTGCCCAAGGCACTTTCTGACCCCCATGACGAGGGGCTCGGAGAAGCCGGGTTCTCTCAGTCGGACACCGGAGTTTTATTTTAGCGCTACGATCCATTTTCTGTCTTCAAACTGATTTCACTCTGGTCCTCCTTTTAAATTACACGAGATGAAAATGTCTCTCTCGCACTGCCTGAGGCCATTACAGGAGTGACCGAGGTGACTGCGGGTGACACTGTGGGGCCACCTGCGGGCGTAGGGAGCCGGGGTCGGAGAGCGGAGACTGAGTCTGGGAGTGTGGCACAGCTTCACACCCAGGTGAGCACTGGGGACCCCGGCTAGCCTCACTCTCTGTATGAGACATCATCGCGAGGTGACAGTTACACCCCCAGATTCAGCATGTTCTGAAGGGGCTTGGAGCTATTTATTGAGAACAACTTTGGTAAAGTTTTGGCTCAACAATAAAGAGATAAAATTATGAATTAGTCTTAATATTTGGGTAAAGACGATTGTTAAAACTCATCAACACTCAAGAACTAAACTCTTTTCTCTGTAAATCACACCGCAATTAAAAACATAAAGCAATGACAATGAAGTTTGGGGGTATATTTCTACATTCCTGTTCCTAAATAATATTGACAAAAATTGTTTTTGGTTTGTTTGTTATAGGGTGTGTACAGTCAGTAAAGAGAGAGAGAGGGAGAATGAAAAATCATCCCCCGGGGAGGTGCCCATACCCTAATCCCTTCTCCTCCATTCTCTTCTCAGGGCTTTGGGCACACGCCCACACATGTATGGCATGGTTTTGGGCACATACACCCACACATGTATGGCATGGTTTTCAAGGTGCCGTATCTGGGACTTGAACCACTCACTTGGCTATTAGGCTCCAGCTGCCTTAACCTCCACATGACCTGCTGGTCCAATAATGCATCCTTTTAAATGACCATTGCTCATATTCCTGATATAAACCTGAGAATCACTTACACTTCATGTATTTATTTATGAGATTTTTAATATAGGGCACATGTACTTGCTGGAGAGACAGAGACAGAGAGACAGAAGTGAGAAATCACCCGCCACGGGGGATGGCCACGTTTACCCTCCATCCTCCTCTCGGGGTCTTGGGCACACACACCCTCTGTGAGTTTTAAGCCACCGGGTCCAGGACTCGAACCGCAGTTGACTACATAGGAGTCCATTATTCTATCTGCTGGCCCCCGGAATCACTTACACTTCTAAGGCAGCGATTCTCAATCTACCCAGGGTGATTTTGGCCTGCAGTAGGCCGAGCCCAGGGAGGCTTGCATACCCTATGACGCGGAGGACAGCCCCGTCAGCAGTCACCCCGAATCGAGGCGGGGAAGCCTATTGGGAAGGTCGCCGAGCTGCGTGCCTCTCGGCTCACACTAGCTTCTGCCCCACACTCCAAACCACCTGGCACCGTGGGCTTTCAGGCAGAGGGTCCAGCCCAGCACCCCGGACGGGGCAGACGGAATTTAAAGGAACTCTGCGGACGGTTCTGAAGCGAGGGGCCTCGCAGAACCTTCAGAAGCCCCAGTTCCAACCCCTCCCACACGGCCAGGTTGTCTCACGCTCGTGGCCTTTGGAAAGCTGGCCCTGGCCTCCACTCCCATGGTGGGCGTCCACAGCCTCCGAGGCCGCGGGCCCCTTGGTGCACTGGACTTCGGAGAGTGCTGGTCGGTGGAATCTTCACTAACCAGCTACGCAGGGGGCACTCCATCGCCGCGACCCCACCGCCACCGTGCTGTTCACTGTACCTCCGTCTTGACTCCCCGTGGGGGGCCCTGACCTCAGCAACCAACTACCAAGAAGCCCCCGGTGGACTGGGCGCTTCCCCGAGGCCAGCGGGGCATTGACCGGGGACCCAGGGCGGAGGACGGGCGGAGGACGGGTGCACAGTACCTTGCTGATGTGGAACTCCAGGCGCCTCATGTACCTCTCGGTCGTCTTGATTTGCTGGAATTTAGAGAAGAATTTGAAAGTGCACAGTCAGGACAGCTCAGCTGGCTTGGGCCTGGGAGAATATTATTACTTCATTCTCAAAGTACCAGGAGAGCCCACCTATCACCCTGCCCTCCTGGCTTCACTGTTCTCATAGAGATTATTTGGCACCTATTTAGAAAATATTTCTGAAGCTCCTGAATAAATATTCCGAGAGCGACTTGTGTGTGTTGTTGGAACCTTTAAGGTTTTTTATCAAGAGATGGCAATCCAGTGGAAGTCACTGGATTTCTGGCAAAAAGTACCATACACTCGAGTGTATCAGATTTTCTTCATCATATGTTTGATCTGTTCTAAAATGGACATTGTCCTCTGTCTCTGGAATTGGGGTGCGTTTTACAATTGCCGACAGCTTCCCGGCCGTGCTCCGTTGACTGTGTGGTGCGTATGTCAATTCCATATTTGAGTAATAAATATCATTGCTATTACATGCATTTAACTAAACTACCCCTTTAAAATATCTTCAAAAGCCATACACAGTGATTCAGTATCGAGGTGAAGCTGTCGTGTACACAGACAGGCATGGACACGAACCTTAGACGGTGCTAAAAAAGCAAGGGAAAGCCAGGCCTGCAGGGCCCTCACGGAGTCTTATCAGTAAGTGGAAAGCACACACTTCAAGTGACAAGAGCGAGCCGCTGGAGTTTCAGAGGAGACGTTTGTATCCTTCTCAGCACGTAAAGTGCCATTTCCAATCGAGGGTGTCTTCGACTTCATGAGGTATGGTAGTCCCCGTTGACACAAGGGCGGCCGAGCACGTGGGGACGTGGAACTCACCGAGAGGCTTAGCCCGCGGTGGAGCTGCAGCCCGCGGTGCCTTCACGGGACGTTATCGAATCTACAGGTCCTAGGACTCGCTCGTCAGCCTCATTAGCCACAAGCACGATTTCCCCCGGACTAGAAAAACCATCCGATCCCTGGGGTCCCACTGTCCCTGAAGGGCTTTCTCAAGGATTCCGCTTGTTTTCCAACAACCCCTGCCCCACGATGGCCATGTACCTTGTCCAGGTCGTACAGCACACCCTACAAGGAAAAGGGCATCTAGATTAAAACACGTCCCCCACTGAAACGTCCCCGCGCGCCCAGAATACCAGCCTCCCTCCTCACTGCCTGTGGGCTGAGGACACCCACAACGCGCCACTGGCTTTTCGACATTTGCTTTAGGAAGATAAGATCCAGGTTGTTTTAAATTCCAGAAAGAGCGTCTTTACGAGCCCACGCTATTTGCACTCCGTGTGTTCAGGGCCGACCGGTCCTCTCCGCCCCTGCTCTGGGTTTCCTCCCTACATATTGAGGGGTCTGTAAAATGACGTCATTTGAACATTTAAAACAAAAGAACGGTGCTAACATCAAATGCGTCATGTTAAGAACGATGCGCCTTTCTGTTAGAACACGTAAGATTCAGCTTTAAACACACGAAGTAGTCTCTTAAGTCCTCGAAGGTGGTGACATGCTTTTCACTGTTTTAAAGCAAGTGCATTCCCTCTGTGCTCACGACACCTCGGTATAACTGACACTTGGCGTTTGTCTTTCAAATATTTCTTGGCTGTAAAGTTTATCTGCATAAATGCGTTTGGAGGAGACTGAAGTCTTAGGAATATGGCGTGAAGACGAAAAGTTCACCCCCTCCTCCCTCCGACGTGTGCGGCAGGGCGCGGACAGCCGTCAGCCTCCACGTCCCTACTGGGGAAGACGGTACTGAGGCAGGAGAAGGACCTGCACCCTGAGGCCCGCAGGTACCTACCAGGCGCGAGTTTCTTTTCATGTCTTTTAACTGGGCCGTCAGCTTGTCCAGCTCCGTCTGGTGAACCTCCAGGTACTCGCTGCAAGGACAAGACATGCCGCCATGAGCTCGGGGACCGCAGCGTGGGGCAGGTTCCACCTTTCCTCTAAGGGAGGTTGAGAGTCTGAGCCGGGCTCGGTACTAGGAGAAGGAACTCGAAGAGTTTGAAAATTCCAGTAGGAATTTATCTTGGTGCCAAAAACATTTTTAAAGCCATTCTCATGGAGAATGAACTTTTTGGCGACTCCCTGCTCCTCTTACTTTTTGTCAATTATTCAACCTTTTCTTTCCTGTCCTTTTAAAATTTGCCAGAGGGTGCGTGCTCTTATATGAGAGAGAGAGTGAGGAAGTACCCCCATGGGGCATGGTCATGCCACAGTCCTAAAATAACCCTTCTCCATCTCTCTCTCCTCCAGGGACCTTGGGCACGCATACACATGTGCCTGGTATGTTTCTCAAGTTGCCAGGCTGGGACTTGAGCTGCGTGCTCAGCCATGTGGGCCCAGCGCCATAACCACTCTGCTGCCCGCTGCCCTTCTTCGACGTGTTCGAGCCCCAGCAGCCGTATCGGACAGTGTTCAGAAAGGAACGCCTGTGAGCCTGAGGCTCCGGGAGAGATACCGCATGGGGGAGGAGCCGGTCCTGGGCCCCAGAATCTCGTCTAGTGACGGGCAGTGGAGTGCCCTTTATCTGAAATGCTCGGGACCAGAGTGTTTCAGGCTTGGGGATGTTAGCAAAAGCAGAACGAGACGTTTTGGGGGGGGACCCGAGCCTCAGTACGAAACCCAGTACGTTACGTAAGCCCCCACAGCCTGACAGAGATGCACACGGCTCTTCTGTATTGCAGCCCTCCGGCTGCGACCTGTCGCATGAGGTCGGGGCTTTTCTGATGGTGCCCGCATTTTAGATTTAGGGTTCTTGGCTTAGGGATGATCAACCTGCACCACGGGGCAGCTGTCTCAGGAAACGCTGGGAAAGCTCCGGTCTGGGCAAGCAATCCCTCTAACGTACTGAGGAAGGCGTCAGACCCTCCCGCGGCGACCTCCAGGACGGAGATGCCCCTGCCCCGTGGAAGTGAAGCATACACACGGCACCGCCTCGGCCTTCACGGCACGGCGGTGGCCCCGACGTAGCCACCTCTCGGTGACTTGTTTCCAGCTTCCCCAGCTACACGGCAAGGGCGAAATGCTGCCTGAGAAGCACATTTCACAGGTGACCTCGGCAGACCAGCTCTGTCCCCCTCCCCCGCCACTTTGGAAGGACAGAGTCCCCTTCCGGGAAGTTCTTACTCCAGTCCGCTCTTCAGGGCCCGGTAGACCTCTTCCACCCGCTTAGGCTGAGGCTCTTTGGGAGGGTTGCTGTTTTTGTGTCCCAAATTGTGCATTTTCTTCAATCTGGCCTGCGGCTTCTTGAGAGCTGAGGGATTTTCGATGAAGGAGTTACATCTTCGGAAAGAAAAAAAGAAAAAGACGCTGTGAACCTCAGGCATCCGAAAGAACCTCACCCCAAGAAGGCTCTTCAGCCTCTTGGTTCGTACCGGCTCCCGGGGAGGGGGTCCCCACGTTGCGGGGGATCTGGGCGGTCCTGCGGTCAGTTCGTGGGTTCAGGCTGTCACCTGAACGCTCTGCTGGGCCCAGGCTAAGCAGAGCCAAAGTCTGGCTTCCAGAAACATGCCCTCTGAGCAAAAGCACAGCTCTGAGCGGCAGCCAGATGATGGCGTGGTGGGAAAACCAGGGCTCTGGGAGACTGAGCACGCGGGCAGGTGCCAGGTTCAAGTCTGGAGACCTCCCCGAGCACAGTGCATGCGGACTAGCTGAGGCTGGAGGTGGACGGTGGCAGGGGCAGCCTGGCGGGGACGCTTCACCCTCTCCCCACCCGTGTCTTTCTTGATCATGGAACAAAGACAGAAGAAGAAAGCACTGCTGTGTGAGGACCTGGGAAGACGCCAGGGAGAGGCAGTTCCAGAGACTGTGCTCAGGCGTGAGCTCACGACCCACATAAAGCACACACGTGTGCACAGCACTGGGCATGCGCCCAGGACATGGCAGGCTGCAAACGCAGGCTCTCTGACGTGGGCCATGAGCTGGCTGCCTCGACAGGACCTGAGGCTCAGGAGAGAGCTCGCACTTGGGCTGCAGCTTTTTTAAAAGCATTACCTTTCCCCCCTAGAGTTATTTAATTGGATTTATTATTATTTTCTATAGGGCATGTGTGCTCACCAGAGAGAGGCTGGAGGCGGGTGGGGGAGTGAGAAGGTAAGCTGCCAGGTCTGGGACTCGAGCCACAGTCAGCCACGTGGGAGTCCAGTGCCTTAGCCACCATGCCACCTGCTGGCCCCTCAATAACCGCGATCAGGTAGCACTTACACTGACATCGGCAGGGTGGCCTGCCCGGAACAGGCACTCGATGGCCGAGACCGGCACTGTCTGAGTAAGTGCTCTCGGAGTAAGACCCCGACGGTACGAGGAGGGCGGAGGCCAGGTCACTGGCTTCCGTTACTCTGAACTTTATTCCATTCACAACAGGGAGTGCGTGTGCGTGTGCGTGTGCGTGTGCGTGTTGGTGCTCCTCTGAGCAGCGGGCCGCCCGTCCCGGAGCCCCCGGAAGGCACACTTGCCTTGATCGTCGCTCCTGGAGGCCGCTGAAGCCCGCGAAGGACTGGCTTCTGATGATCCCATTGGGCCCGCCGGGCGAGAAGGACTGTGGCCCCGCCAGCATGGTTTCGGGGAGTCCGGCCGCCAGCCCTGTAGGAGAGGGGAGGGAGCACGGTCATTTATAGGCAGGGGAGGCAGACCATGATGAAGGCGGGACTCGAGGTGGCGTGAGTCGCTCAGATGCTGGTGCAGGTTCGTGGAAGCCCAAGGATTCCGCTCCCAGGATAGCTGAGCAAAGCTGCCCCTCCCTCGGCCAAGGCGGATGCCTGCGGCACAGCGTGGTTTCTGGTTTCCTCGGGAGTCTGTTCCACGCGGTGCCAGGGCACAGACGGTCTGGCCACGGCCATCTCCGCCCCACAGCGACAACACGACACACACAGACCACGCCAGCCCCAGGTAGGCCCCAAGGCAGAACTGCAGGCCAGCGGCACACCCCGAAGCTGCACTCTGATTCTCAGCGTTAAGGGCGGGCCTACCTAACTCTGCCAGAGGAACTGGCCCGTGGTAGCAGGAGCCCTGTGGAACACGAGCCTTCACCCCAGGACCTTTCTCAGGTCATTTCTCCTTGGCCTTCCTAGCCCCGTGACGTCTCGCGTGAGGTCATGGGAAATGAAGATGAAGCAAGGAGAGCAGCCGGGAAAATGGGGAGGAAAACGCTGGCACGGATCCACTCAGAGCGACCGGGGTCAGTCATCCCAGGCCCCGACAGAGGGGGCTGTGCAGGCACCCCCAGATCTACGAGGGGCTGTGTGTAATGTTCCTCCGTTCCGAAGCAGTCACCCCAAAGTCCAGCAGGGAGATGCTGGTTGATCTGACTTACTATGGGGCAGCTGGTGAGAGTCTGCCCCTCGGGGGGGCACGAGCATCTCCTGACGCCAGGGCACGCACAGGAACCCGGCCTCCTCGGACCCCCAGAGCCTCCTATCAGCTCGGCCTGAGTTCTGCGCCTCGCCTCGCCCGAGGCTGCTCCCTCGAGAGAGGACAGAGGGAGGCGGCTGGACCGTGTCCCCCAAGGGCGGTGCTACGCATGCGTGTGCTGTCACATGCTGGCAGTCCCCGCGGCGTGGCTCCCAGGGCCCCCACAGCCCTCCACAGGGCGGTTTCGCAGTCCTTGCTGCCGCATGCCGAGAGGTAGCCGCGTCTAAACCTCTGCCGAGTTATTTCTGGCTGACCAAACAGTGTACAGCCAGCGTGCAAAGCAACTAAGTGCAGCCACGCAGACCCCTGGGTCGCCAGCGAGCAGGTCCTGCTGCCTCTTAGCACGCCGAGGCACTCTGCGTCTCTCACCATCCCCGGCTCTGTCCACGGATCTGAAGCTGTAAAAACGGTTATGAGGCAAAAAGCCGCCTGCCCCGGCTTTAAGTGCAATCTGTGTAAAGAAGGACGAACATGGGGGCTCGCAGGGCGACACCACGGCTCTGCAAGGCCGGCCCACACAGGGAGGTTCTGGGTTCGGGTCCACACGTGTCTGTGACCTGGGACTAGCTGAAGTTGGGGTTGTGGTGCCAGGATCTTGGGGACATTGAACCTGTCTCTCTGTCTCTAGCTAATGGGGGAAATAAACGTAAAGCAAAACAAACAAAGCCAACTTTAAAGAATCTATCCCTGGGACCAGCAGTTAGCGTAATGGCTATGTCGCTGGACTCCCACATAGTCGACTGCGGTTCGAGTTCCGGACCCAGCGGCTTAAACTCATGCCAGGTGCGTGTGCAGGTGCCCAAGATCCCGAGAGGAGAATGGAAAAGGGATTGTGACGTAGTTATCCCCCCTCAGGGGGTGATTTGTCGCTTTCTGTCTCTCTGTCTCTCTCTGTCTGGAGAGCGCACGCGCCCTATAGCAAAAACCTCTCCAAAAAAAAAAAAAAGACTCCATCCCTGGACTCACCGACATATGACACATTCTCAACCACAGAGACAACAGGAAGCCTTAAAGGTGTGTTAGCACAGCGAATGCCACGTCCTGTATTCTGAGCCCAGTGCCAGGAGGGACCATGAGGTGCCGTCCCTCTGGGCCCCGCACTCTCACTCGGGCTGGGAGGTCCGTGTCACTCTGCACCTCCTACCACTTTTCTGCCTGCGCACTGCCCTGCCCAGTTCACCAGGGGAGTCCCTTCCATTTCTGTAAGGCAGACAGCTGGGGTGGAACACTTTTCCCAAGACTCCAGCACTCCCTAATGTACCACGGTCCGCTCAGTGTCCCTCCCTCCCTCCTCGGGCCTCTGGAATGGCCTGCAGGGCTGTTTCCACTCCCTGGACGGAAATCTCCATCGCGCTCACGGTGAGAAAGTGGTTTCCGCTCACTTTCTTTGATCTCGTCCAGTCAGCCTGAGTGATGTCTCGAACAGCAGAGGGAGAGGGGTGGGCCTGGGGCCATCTGGAACGGTGACACAGGGGTTAGACCTTCTCCGGGGGTCTCCCCACTCCTCCACTCTCCTCTTGGGATTTTGGGCATGGTTGCACACACACCTGGTGTGTTTTTCAAACTGCCAGGTCCAGGACTCGAATGTGCAGTCCACCCTGTGGGCCCCCGTCTTAACCTCCACGGTACCCACGGGCCCAGAACGGTTCTCTGCACTGTCGCGGCTCCCTGACCGTCGGTCAGCCAAGGCGGCTCAAGGTGGCGGGTGCCGCTCTGCAGGGCTGGAGCCACGTGCAAGAACACGGCTGGGATTCCAGGGTAGCCAGAAGCCTGTACCCACATCGGGGTCCCATCCAGTGGGTCTTGGGGGGATCGTGGCACAAGACCTTGTCGAGGCTGCCTGTTCCTTCCCGAGGAAGCTAACTAAGTAAACGTGGACCAAGCCGCGTGGCAGGACAGGACTTGTCGTTCCTGTGGCCCAGCGCCGTGCTAACAAAAGGATGCGTTCCCGCGGATCGGAGGCGCTGAGCCCGAAGGGGCTGGGCTGCTCGGGCTGCTCGGGCTGTGGGCAGCAGCCGACTTCCGCCGTGCCCTGGACTTGATGCGTGCCCTTCCAGGCCCCGCGGCCTCATCAGTGAGGTCGCTGGGCACACCAGACGGGACAGTCAGCAGGGCGGACGCGCTCACCGCTGCTCCGGTCGCAGTGACAGTGACAACGGGGACAGGTCACCCAGGCAGTCCACAAAGTGAGGGCGGGGCGAGGCCTCCCGGCAGCACTGAGCTCCACGGCTCCCTTTCCAGCGGTCTGCGCAGCGAGTTAGCAACCTGAGCAATGGCCGTTACAGACACCAGACACGTGTACTGCTGCAGCGGAGGCAGACGGCTTGGCTCACCTATTTATAACGCGCGGTTGGGGACCAGCAGATGGCATAATGGTTATGTCGCTAGACACCCACATAACTGACCATGGTTCGAGTCCTGGACCTGGCGGCTTAAAACTCACACCAGGAGCATGTGCGTGCGTGCCCAAAGTCCCAAGAGAAGACTGGAGGAGAAGGGACTGGGGCGTGGACATCCCCCCGGGGGTGATTTCATGCTTTCTGTCTCTCTCTGTCTCTCTGGCGACCGCATGCACCCTAGAGCAAAATCTCTCTTAAAAAAGAAAAAGGGTTGGTTCCCCATGGCGTGCCTGGTCAGCGTTTCAGTGGACACCGGGCGGACTGTCAGCCGCTCTGAACGTGTTCTTTCCGGACGGCCGTTCACATCCGGCCTCGATGTTCCTCACATCTCAGGATGTCAGGATTGGACGGACGGCGAGTGGTGAGCGGGGTGTGGGTACAGCCGGACAGTGAGCAAGGTGGCGTCTTCCTGCACCAACGTGTCGGCTGCCCGGGCGAGAGCACTTTCCCCTGCGCTGAACACACATTCCCGGCGGGCCATAGTTTCCCAGCCAGCAGTGCGGGCACACCAGCCCGAGAGCAGATGCCCTCCACCTGTTCCGACGGGCATTCCGGGGAGCGAGGGGAGGCGGGGGGGGGGGGGGGGGGGGGGCACCCCTGCCCTCCCGCCACCCTGCAGAGTTGGAGCCCGGATGACAACGTGCGACAGAATTAATATTCACAGCGGGAAGGGGCGAGCATGAGGCGGAGCAGCCGCGTGTCTGTTAGCACTTCCAGGGCCGAGGAAAACTGTAAGGGCCTTTGTCCTGGTCAAGGACGGGGCCGCTGATCTCTGCACGCGTGTGCACTCCTGCTCCCGGGAGCTGCGGAGCGACAGCTCTGTGCCGACGCGGCCTCGGTGACACGGCATCCTCTCTTTGAGGCCGTCACAGCCAGTGTCTGTCATTAGAGTGACACGCACCGAGCCACCTGCACGCAAGGGGCAACTGCTCCCAGACACGCAGCGGGACTCTCCCCTCCGGAGCAGCGACCTCTGCTTGGCTTCCTCTGCTGTGAGCGGGGATCCTAACACGCCACTGTCACCCCGACATGGTGAGCCGTCGGGCACCGGCCCATAAAGTGTAACACCGAGCAGGGCCATACACCCGGTAAGGGCCCCGTCATCGAGGGAGGGACAGACCCACAGCCCTCCCAAATGGCATGCGTCCGGGCTGTTGCTGTGTGTCTCGTTCCTCGGGTCACACTAGAACCGGGACCTCAGACACAGGCCGGCCAGTGCTACTCGTACACGCTGTAACCCCACTGGCTGAGCCTGGCTCTCCGCGGGGCACGGGCACAGGAGGTCTTCAGCTCCTCAGCTCCACGGCTCGCATTGTCCGAGACAGACCCGAGGAGAGCATCTAACTGCCTTGGACGAGTGTGTGCGCATTTTCCAGAAAAGGGCAATTTAGGGCCGAATACAGGTGTTTCTTTTTATCTCTAAGAAGTGGCCTCTGGTTACTCCTTTTGGATATGCAGGGCTATCTGCTCGGCTGAGGGGGTTAGAGAAGAGTACAGGTCGCCGGGCCCGGCACTGTCTTCGGAACTTCAAAGCAACGCGGAGGTGAGCTCGCTCTGCACGTTGGCTGAGCCCCCTAATGTGTTCCCATGTCTAACACCCTGGGGCGGTCTGTCTCTCTGCATGGCTGGCTGC